AAAAACGCCTTACTATACTATGTCGTTTTTTTCGTGCCAAAAACGGCATACTATACTATGTCGTTTTTTTCGTGCTAAAAACGCCTTACTATACTATGTCGTTTTTTTCGTGCCAAAAACGGCATACTGTACTATGTCGTTTTTTTCTTGCCAAAAACGCCTAACTATACTATGTCGTTTTTTTCGTGCCAAAAACGGCTTACTATACTTCGTCGTTTTTTTCGGCTAAAAACGCCTTACTATACTATGTCGTTTTTTTTTCGTCTAAAAACGCCTTACTATACATGGTTGTTTTTTCGTCTAAAAACGCCTTACTATACATGGTCGTTTTTTTCGGCTAAAAACGCCTTACTATACATGGTCATTTTATTTTGGCCAAAAACGCCTTACTATACATGGTCGTTTTTTTTCGGCCAAAAACGCCTTACTGCACATGGTCGTTTTTTTCGGCTTAAAATCGGCTAAAAACTCCTTACTACACTGGTCAGTTTTTTTGATGATCAGATCATCAGCAAGCTCTAACATTGAACCTTTTCATTTGAATCCGGTGTGTTGCAACAGGGAGATTTGGAAAACATGCAGGACAGTGGCCCTCCAGTTTGTCACCCTTGGTCTAAATAAATTCAACGGGACTCGTCTTTCTTCCTAGCCTGCCGAGCAGTGGGCACGGGGATGATGCTGAGCTCATGGGCCACCTCCACAATCGAGGAAGTGACGTCGGCAATGACGAGCTCGCCTGGCGTCGGCGGTGTGCTGTGGCTGCAGCTTTACATCTACAAGGACAGAGCGCTCACTCTCTCCCTGATTCGTCGAGCAGAGGAGGCGGGCTGCGAGGCCATCTTTGTTACCGTGGATACGCCATACTTGGGCCGGAGGCTTGAGGACATGCGCAACTGCTTTAAACTGCCCTCCCATCTCAGGTAGGACTTTTGAAACGCTTTGGTACTCACCAGGGAGGACAAAGATTGCAAGCGACACTAGAACAGCTTTGCGCAGATGAACACAGCGAGTGACACTTTGTTCCCCCCCCCCCCCCCCCCCCCCCCCCCCCGCCGTGCGTCTCTGTTGCAGATTGGCAAACTTCTCGACGGACTCCTTGGCTTTCTCGGAGGGAGACTACGGCAGTGACAGCGGCTTGGCTGTTTATGTCGGAAAAGCCATCGATCCTGCTCTGTGCTGGGATGACATTACCTGGCTCAAGAAAATCACACACCTACCTGTGATTGTGAAAGGAGTGCTAACTGGTATGCGTACACACAACATTGGCCGTTTTGTTTTGACCGGTGAGAAAGAATTGCTTTAAATTAAATAACCACGTTTTATAAAAAAAATATATATAATATATATATATATATAATATATTGTGTGTGTGTGTGTATTCAGGGGAGGATGCTGCCAGGGCCGTGGACTATGGCGTTGATGGCATCTTGGTGTCCAACCACGGAGCTCGACAGCTGGATGGGGTTCCTGCCACGGTGCGTTTCCGTGTGGTTTGCGTGCATTTACAGTATTTGGCATTTTCGACGCATCCACTTTGGACCAAGTCAGGGATTTTGATGGGCTGCCACAGCCACAAAAAGCAAAATGGCGTTGCGTTTCACACTCTACACTTGGCCAACTTTCAAATCTGAGCCATTTTCAAAAAGTCGACATGCAAAACATTGAATACGTTTGGTTGGAAATCTCCGACAAAACCATTTTACTGCAGAGGCTGCACTCACTCTGGGTTAAGTTGGTGATTTTGGTGGCCTTTCCAAATTGGCGTTGAGCTTCTCACCCATTTACCACCCTACACTTTGTCAGGTTTCGAATGAAATCTATTTTGAAATATTTAATTGGCAAAAACATCAAATGCATGCGTGCGATGAGATTGGCTGCTTGATTGTAGGTCCAAAAAGGTCGGGCACCGCTGCAGTCGATGGCAAGATAAAAAGCGATGTCCGCTATCTTGTGGTGAATGGGGATTATTACAAGGCCAGTCTGGGAATTGCGAAAATCTGTCGATGACTGACACGCACGGAAATACATTGGATTTTTTTTTTTTTTGGTAGTACTGTACTCCCAAATTCTTCTCCTAAAAAAAAAAAAAAAGCTATCACATGCATTTTAAAAGGAGGGTGTCCGCCCCCCCCCCCCCCCAACATTTACAATGCTTTTTTTTTCAACAAGCTTCAGTACCGGAAAGGCCAATTCCTTCCACTGATAGCTATGTTTCGTGCGTTTGTGTGTGTGTGTGTGTAGCTTGATGTGTTGGAGGAGGTTGTGGAGGCAACAAAAGGTCGCTGCGACGTCTATCTGGACGGTGGAGTGAGGCGAGGGACCGACGTCCTGAAGGCGCTCGCCTTGGGAGCGAAGGCCGTTTTCATCGGTCGGCCTGTGCTGTGGGGCCTCGCCTGCCAGGTGAGCCAAGTCAAAAGACCAACTTTTGCTTTGTATTCACATGTTGACCGGCCTGGGCACTTGACAGTGATGATGTACACATTAGCAAACTGCTGCACAAAACAAAATATGTTTAGAATTATGCAATATGTCTCGTGTTCAGGGGGAACAAGGGGTTCTTGCAGTTCTGCAACTTCTCAAAGATGAGCTGAAACTTGCTATGGCCTTGGCGGGTAATACATGCGCACGCGAGCACGCACACACTCAACTCAACTGTATTTCTCGAGCACTTTCAAACAGCCATCGCTGCATACAAAGTGCTGTACATGGAGCAATTTAACATATACAACAAACAGTAAAGCAAATCGGTCATAAAGACGGTAGAAAGCACATTACATACACACATGCGCAAATGTCGACTTGCGCAATGATTTGCATTTCTGTAAGCAGGTTGTCGCTCCCTATCAGAGGTAAGCAGATCCTTGGTCAGGAGAGTGGAGGTCACGTCAAGAATTTAAGGTGAATCACCACGGATCACATGGATGACCGCTTTCTTGCTTTTCCGAGTCGGATGAATTTGAAATCCGGTCAACTGTTGTTGAAGTGAAAAGAAACGCGATTTTCCTCCCGACGATGATCCCATCGATTGATACGACTTTCGGACAACAGTCCAGAGGAAAATGAAAATGTTGCCGTTTTTTTTTTCCCCCTCCAGATTGGTCTGTGGCAAATGCTGATCCTGCGAGGAAATGTTGTTTTGGGTGAAGTTGGAGCTGCATGAAAAAGTAACACGACGTATGGATGTAGACTGGCGCAATTATTCAACCTTCATTGTAAATTCTACTCGCAAAATGTCAATTACACACTTTCAAGAGAAGCCTCAGATTGGCTGACCGTGCCTCGGTTGTGTTACGCTAAAAACGTATTTCAAGTCGACATGAAAATCTTTTGAATTTGCCTTTTCTGTAGAAGTTTGTTTTCCAATTGCATGACAACCACGCCCAATTCTGATTGAAAGGTCGACAAAGAGGTTACGCATTACTATGTAATATCAATGTTTTTTTTAAATCAGTTAGCTGTATCTATCTATCTATCCCTCTGAAAGAAAACAAAATTGAGACTGCTTGACTGCCACCATTTATTTCATGAGTAACCCAAGGAAGGAAATAAATAACAACACAACATCTAAAAACCTAAAGTCACACACAGCAGCCACGAGGGTGGTCCTTTCTCCATTTGGACGTCGCTCACAGAAATGGTCTCGAAGGCTTCAGTGTCTTTTTGGACACACGCTTCCTGAAACCTCTTTAAGGGTACAGAGAACCGCATGCTGTATGGACGCAGCCATTCTGAATAGGAACGCTAAGATCTAGTCAAGCCACGTGACATGTACAAAGTACATTACATTTAGGTCGCTTGGACACCGGAGAAGGTTTCACATCAGGATTTGACGCTACAAGCTGGCGCTGTATTTCTCTACGGAAACGGGAAAAGGCGCAGCCAAAGGGCAGCGTTTGGTTTCCTTTCAGGTCGCGGGCATAAGTGGGCTACTTTGGTTTGCTACTCGTCGTCTTTAAATATTCATGCCTCCATCTGGGACACGCGAGTCAGGTCGGAGGGGCGCCGGCGTGGATGAAGACGTCGGCTCACCTTAGCCTCTGGACTCCAGAGAACTGCAAGGAGAGAGACACAATGAGGAATCGCGGCGAGCTCCCGTACAGCAGACACCCACTTTGTCCTGAATGCGTGGAACAGCCTCCTTTCTGTCACCCACGAGCCCTTCACCTCTGCGAGCCAGACGTGCAGTGGCCAGTTTCATACTCAAGACATTCATGCAGGGATCTGACTTCACTCATCATGGCTGAGAAGTCCAAACTAATTAAGACCCAAATAACAGCCTCTCTCTGCGAGTTGCACTCCATTCGGCCCAAACGGTTTTAAGACACGGTAAATGGACAATGGTGGCCATCCTTAAGATGCGCTGCGAGCGGTCTCACGTGTAGCTCGTGTGTTGTTGTCGCCTGCGGGCAGTCCTCATCTTCTCAAAGCGAGCTTCCATTTCCTCCAGGACCTTTGGGGTGTAGCGCACCACCAGCTTGACCGAGCCCTGGGCGGCCTTCAACAGCTCCACGGCCTTCTCGTGGTGTTCCCCCTCCACAGTCTGCAAATCCACAAAGTGGCTATTTAACTGTCATTAAATGGTGACATTCTTCACTTTCGCAAAGCGTTCGGTCCTTAGCTTGTTCTTACCACTCCATTGACAGACAGCAGCTGATCTCCTCTCTTCAGACCCCCCTGACGATCGGCCACCCCCGCGGGTATCACTCTGGAGATGTAGATGGGGGAGTTCTGCTCTTTGCCCCCCATGATATTGAAGCCCAGCCCCTCGTCGGTCTTGGGCAGCTCCACCACCCGTGGATGCGCGTGGCCCTCGCTGGCTGCAAACGCCGCCACTGTGGCCTACTCAGGATGACAAACATGTCTTTTGCAAAAGAAAAAAAATGTCCTCATATTGTCAACGATGTCTCAAATGAAGCTTCATTGTAAAAAAAAAAAAAAAAAAAAAAAAAATCATTCAGGGACGCAATTGTCCTGTACTGGATAGCAACGTTGAGAGGAGCGCAATTGCATAACCGTGGATAGTATAATAGCATGCGTGGCCACCCCACAACTGGGGTGTTGTGCAACCCCGATGAAAAATGTCCGACTACCCGCCTGCATGCAGAACCCCCCCAAAAAAAAAACCTAACAATCTGAGGTATTGAGGGCTTACGCCTTATACAAAGTGAAACGCAGTCTGCGACTTGCACTTAGCCCACTTGAAATACCTCATTCAGGGAAGCAATTGTCCTGTACTGGATAGCAACGTTGAGAGGAGCGCAATTGCATAACCGTGGATAGTATAATAGCATGCGTGGCCACCCCACAACTGGGGTGTTGTGCAACCCCGATGAAAAATGTCCGACTACCCGCCTGCATGCAGAACCCCCCCAAAAAAAAAACCTAACAATCTGAGGTATTGAGGGCTTACGCCTTATACAAAGTGAAACGCAGTCTGCGACTTGCACTTAGCCCACTTGAAATACCTTGGCTGTCGCTTGCGCTCGCACCTCCGGTCCTCCGACAATGTCTAGAGTGTCATACAGCTGCTCGTACACCTAACAGACAAAGGGAGACAGACACTCAATCTAAAAGTTGCACTGCAAATTAGGCACGTGCCAGAAGTTTTTGCAACGACATGCGCATTGTTCTGCTCAAAGGAATGGTAGCTTTTCTGCAGTTTCCTACCTCTCTAATGGCGGCACAAAACTTGCTCTGCAGCACTCTCTGAAGGGCCTGCAATTTGGGAGGAGGCAATTCCCCCCGGCGTTGCAGCCGGTCCAGCAGCTCAATCACCCGACACACATCTAACAGAGACGCGCACACAAACACACACTCACACTTGCATACAAAGCCAATGACTTTCCTTACAGCCAAAGATGTCGCGCGTGATCGATCGGTGGCTCCGGCTTAACTGGTAATGAGTACTGGAGTACTGTACCGCCCGGTGCAGCAAAATGACTCTTTAACTCCGGCAAACTCAAACTAATTGTAAATTAGGACTTGGAAAACTAAATAGTTTCTATTCTATTCACATTTAAATGTAAAATTTGTTGCTATTGCGTATCATCGACAAAGGGCGCGTTCTTTTTTTTCCGTGACTTTTTCCTTCAGGCTTAATTGAAGTGTCCAAAAACGTAGATGCAGATGTGAGTGTCAAAGGTTGATTGTCTAAGTAGACTCCAATTCTGGTTGTTTTAACGTGCTCGAGAAATACAGTCGAGTTGAACAATATGTAATACAGTGATCAAAAGTCACAGCTACGTCTATTGACAACATTGAGACAGTGACACAATAGCATCCTGTCCAGTCCACTTGACCACACGCAGCAGTCACTTGGGCTGACGTCACAGCCGTGAGGAACGTTTTACTGTTCACAAAGAGCACCACCACGCAGCCTCGGTTTCACCGCACCCTGTCCACGTTCCCCAGTGACGTCACCGGCACAGCCGAGTTCTTTAATTGTGATATGCACACTTGTTCCACGCATGTCCTAATCACAGCATGCGGCACGTCGTTTTTCGATGACCAATAAATACTGCATATTAATTCGTGATTCATTATAACCACGGTCGCTTTGTGACACGGTGGAAGATTTGTGTAGATTAAAACGAAAGTCAAGATGCGGACAAAATCAATGAATCCATATCGACAATTCATGATTGTATAAGGCGGCGATACTGTACCTCTTTCTAAGCAGAGAGGTTCCGCCATGGCCGCCATGTCTGCCTCCTTGGCTGGATGGTAGTAAGAGGACATCATCGCGCGCTTGCCTCCGTCGGTCAGGCGCTCCCTTCTTCAAAGCATTTACTGCTCCATCGTTCGGAAGTCGTCAAGACGGCGACCCGGAGACCGAGGACAAAGCGGCGCGAGGACGAGACGCGCTTTACGAGCGGGGAAATCGATCACGGCGGAGTGACGACGCGACCGGGGGCGCGTGCGTGCGTACGTAACGACGTAAAGCGACATACGATTACGCTGGAATTAAAGTGGCAACAGACTCAACGACCTTTACCTTTAAAACCGGATTTGAAAGACTGCTGAAAATATGCGAATGCGTAAGCGTCCGAATTTGTACTGTATTTACCTTTGGATATCCTTTTTTTTTCTTTCCGCAATGCCATTCAGTGGGCCTCGATACATGGATTTTCGCTCTCCCCGTGAACAGCGGGTGTTGTCCACATCAAGGCAAAGCCACTAATAACGCTGCACCCAATATTGTGTCTTCTTCAACCAGAATTCCAGGCGGGCGCATCTTGAAAGCCATTTGGATTCATGTACCGTAAGTTACAGTAGCATTCACATAAGGTGAAAAGAACAAATCGCAACATGAACTTTGGAGTACATTATAAACAAAGGCTATTATTTCAAAAGCTGCAATTAATAACGGAACCCTGGTACAAAAGCCAAGGACACCAAAATATAATTAAAAAAATTTAATTGAATTTTAAACCATACAATTGTGAAACGTCACACAATTACCTTCAAATCTCACACTAAAAGTATCTGCTACCGACTGACTTTGAATCCAATTCTTAGTAAAGCAGGAAATGAAATGTGACAGCTTCAAAGGTGAAAAAAAAATCTTGAATTGTTGAAAAATTGATTGAGTGGCACAAATAAATTGGGCAAATCCACAGTGAAACACCATGTGGAACAAACGGTCTCATTTCTTGTGAGGAAGGCGAGATATGGTCTATGTATGGTAACTTTTCCATACAATTAATTTAGGGTGTCACGGTACAGTAGAATATGAAAACGTTTTTTTTTCTTTTTCTTTTTTAAATGAGTGGGTCTAAGTTAGTACTCATCTCCAGTTGTTTCCTCCATCTTATAGCCATTCTCACCAGCAGCATATTCATCAGGCACAGACTGCTGGTCCATCATTCCATCCTGACTGTACTCCTCCATGTTGGGCGCTTCTTCGCCCTCCTCATTGGGCATTTCGTCTTGCGGGCCCACGTCTTCCCGTAAGGAGCCGTGGCGCTCCTCCCTACGCTCAGCCCTCTCTCGGTCGCCCCGCTCCCTCTTGTGATCCCTGTCCCTGTCTCGATCGCTCCTACGCCTGTCTCTGTCCCTGTGGCTGCGTCTGCGGTCCCGATCCTTTTCTCTGTCCCGGTCCCTTCGCTCCTCCGTACCCTCACCTGCTTCTCCGTCAGCTTCTTCCGCTGCACGCTCGCCGCCGTCTGGGGCCCCGTCTCCCTGGCTGATCTCCTCCCCTTCGGGCCCCTTAGCTCTCTCGCGCTCACGCTTGCGATCCCGACTTCTGCTCCTCCTCTTCCTGTCACGATCCCGACTCCTTTCTCTACTCCTGCTGTCTCCTCCGGCCGGTGCTATGCGATCGCGCTCTCTGTCTCGACGCCGGCCGCTACCGGTGACATCCTCCCCTGGTGCCGGCTGCCTGTCTCTTTCCCTTTCGCGCTCACGGGAACGGGTGCGGCGGCGGCGTTCGCGGGACCGAGACCTCCGACGCTCTCTCTCCTTGTCACGACTACGCTCCCTACGCTCTCCACGATCGCGGTCACTATAAAGTAATCCAGACAAAGAAAAATCAGTGACACACATGCTTAAAATGTGTATGGCGTGCTCAAAATAAAACCGAGCTCACCCTCCCAGGGGGCGATCATCATAGCGAGATGCATCATCTCTTCCTGAGTGCTTGATGTTGACATCTGCACCACCTCTTCTGGTTCCTCCTAACCCCCCACCTGAGTGAAACAAATGCACATGCGGGGTTTTTCCTGCGTTCAAAGTTGCGTGTCGGCCGCCGCCCACCCAGACAGACTGATATCGCTCAACTTCCCAACATCATTACAATTGCTCAGCAAAGCTTCAAAAAATACTTGCTGACCCAGTCTACGAGGGTGCCATCCTTTGACAGTGCGTCCTCGTTCAACATCCACCAGCACTCTCCTGCCATCAATCTTCTTGCCATCCGCGTGCTTGTAGGCGGCTGGAGAAGAGGAGCGGGGAGGAAAAAAAAAAAGCACAGGTGGTAAGAGTCCGATGCGTCACTGTGACAAGGAAACAAAACGGTGCTTTAGCATACTGACCAGGAGCAGGTGAAGCCGAGAGGGCTGCTCTCTGGATAAAAGCCCAAGGATAATGGGAGTAGACTTCCTTCCACCCGATGAATGTTCAACGTTTTTGTTTTTTTTTTTAAATAGTTCTTTCACCGTGACCAGCAGTGGGGTTACTACAGCCAACCTCTTAAGTCCTTACAAACGGGCTTATGCTCTACATAGCTCAGTGCCAAGTGTTGTGGCAAGAGTTAGTGTAAATACGTAAGCAACTGTTAACCCACTTAAGCTCTCTCTTGCTTTGTTGTGTCATTCACTTGGCTTGCCAAGCTTGCTGGGGTCATTTCGATTGTGGTTACATATTACATTGCGTTTATCACCTCTCACCCCATCTTGCTACTGATGCAAACTTGAGTAAATGCTCAACAACTATAAAATTAGCACGCACGCACGCGCACACACACACGTTAGGTTATTACCTTGTCAACCTAAAGGACTTATTAAGAAAATAAAATTTGCCCCATTCCCGAATGGTGGGGAGAGAGCTGTATGGACTGTCAATTCGCTAAAATGAACTTGAGGAAACAAATTAATTTTCGGGCCCCCACGTTCGCTAGTGGGCTACTAGCTTTGCATTAGCAAACGTAGCATGAGCTGAAATGCTCCGTATTCTTCCCATTAGTTCAAGTCACTTCGTAAATACTGTACACCACTTTGTGACTGTGTGTGCCACGTCCAGCCTCTTGTCAGGAGTAGGAGGGCACCGTCGCTCCTATTAGTCAATGCCGAAGAACCAATCGCAGGACGACGCAAGACATGTCACGCTATGCGGCAAGACAAACGAAAATTGCGACATGCCAGACTTTCGTCGGCGCCGAGGATGTCACGTGCTACGACGCGTCAATCCCTTCTCAAAATCAGCTACGGGACTCTATGCTTGTCTCAAAATCGGGCTAGATTGGCGTAGTCTGACGTCGGCTTAAAACAAAGGTCTACCAGGATGGCGCAGGTTTCCACATGTATAGTTTGGGAATGACGGTATTTTCGGCAACGCGAGCCTTTTGTGGTGGTTTCCATGCGACGTGAACCGTGACCTGCTTACCATTGTTCTATGCAAGAGCAGCACACAGAAGAAACACCAACAACATGGCATTCTCATTCACAACGCATCTCACAGCTCAACCCGCGATGCCACACAAACGTTTGTTGATCCGTCTTGCACAAGTGAAGAACTTTGACATTGGGATGCCGCTTCCCGTCTGCTACACTGGTCTGGGATGAGGGACGACGGCGCTACCGTCTTGGATGTTGAAGAACAAAGACTTACCACAACCTCTTCACTTTTACCATTTAGACAAGACAGAATCTCACATCATCCTTGGAACAGTCTCATAAGCTCATTCAGAGGGCCTTACCACAACCCCTCATCAACACCAGAATTCACTTGGGTCACAACATCAGTCTGGGGCCTTACCAGAACCCCACCACTTCCTCTCTACACAAAGGATGCCATCTAAATGCCATCCCACTGACAGGGCCTTACCAAACCCCCAACAGTACTCCAAAAACTGATCTGAGAGCAAAATAAAAAAAAATGGAGAGAAAAAAAAAAACACTGTCAAAAAGACAGAAGCGTCCTTTACGTTACTGCAGCCAATTAATGGAGGCCAGTAATGCCACGCTACTAACACTAACCTCTTAGGTATAAGATTGTCTAAACTTTATTCCAATGGGGCGCAGGGAGAAAAAAAAAAGTGCCACCCGATGAGGTTTAACTCATTACTGTAATTCAGAACACCGTGTGGCTAAAACTGAATGGTTGTGGAAATGTAGTGAAGAACTAATTTGGAAATGGTCCCCGTGTCAGAATGACCAAAAAGCACATCTGCCTTTTCCATTAAAGCCATCTTAGCCTCAATAGCCCTAGCTCAATAGATTGGATCACAAACTCAAATACTGGAACGTTGACAGCACTCGCTGCCCTAATCGCCAGCTCACAATACATTTCTTCAGTGAATTCATTCACATCGTTGAATAAAATTTGAATCTATCAGGACCTGGATATGGACTTAACAGTACAAATCCCCCCCCAGAACAATCTTTTTGAAGTCTCGTGAATAAATATAATGTCAATGCCACGCCGAAACAAGCGAGTCACCATCCAACCTGCGTGAAAACGGGTACGACATTTACCCTCACGGCAACGAGCTGATCTTCATAATGGCTGTTTCCTTCGCTTTCCGTGCAAAGGCTGCACACCATCCAAGAAGTGGTGTCGTTACTTTGCCACAAGCTTTGAGAGTCGTGCAATGGGAGGTCGGTTTTCTCTCCGCGTCGCCATCGTCTAGAGACCGAGCTCTGAGCGGCAACGCAAGGTGGCTTTAACAAAAAGGGCAGAGTCATCGGGTACCGCTAAATGCGCTGGTGTTCAGGGGTGCGTTCAATGGTCAAAGTTGTAAAGAAAAACTACTTGCTGGGAAGCTCCCGGGGCTTGCCAGTAAAAATGCTTTTCCCATTGAACGTCGCTCCTCTTCCCTGTATCGGAGATGGAGGGTGGAAAGAAATCTTACCCATCATACAAACCCATTATACCAACCATACACTGAGCAGTGGTAGTAGGGTGTAGATGTATCATAACCATCATCATCTGCCAGCCAGCTCTGGCCAATAGCCATCACAGATTGGCGGCTGCAGTGGCAATGAGAATAACACACAGTTAATATGATGCTTAGCCCCGCCTCCCCACTCACTTTATCCCTTACTTGGCTACATTGCTGTGATCAGCAACTCTGGTCCGGCAGAGCTAATGCCACCTGACTTGTCTAATCAGACAGTTGTGCATTGTGGCAGAAAGAAACTCAATTCAAATACTTCAATATGGTGACATGTACATTCAATTACCTCACCTTGACCAGGGTTGAAGACCACAAAAACAAAAAAAACACTGCCCACTCTTGTGTTGGGGTGCCACAAAACCAACAGGTATTTCAAAGAGATAACCCATTCGATGAGTGACTAGTCTAACCTTGTGCTTACCAATTGAGTCCAACCAGCAGAGTTGCTCTTCCACAGAGCTACTTCACCTAACAGTTAAAAGACAATGTGCCCTTTGAGAGGCAAAGAGGTTCAGGTTCACAGATGACTCACACCTCTACCTCTTGGTCCACCCACCTTTCCCCCACTTCTCAACCAAACCATCAGTCAACCGATGATACGCAACAAACACAGACACACAAACGTCACACAACCACGAGACGGGTTTTCACCATGCAAAATGTGGAACGTAATGCGCGAGAACTTCTGATTCTTCCAAAATTTGCTATTCGGATGGGACCGATCCTGATTCGAGCTGTTAGAAGATGCCCCCCCCCCCTATCCCCACAAATGTATGAGAAGCTGGTGCCAATGGAAGAACCTCACTGACTGTCGCTTGATGAATATGCGAAAATGCTTTTTATGCTCTCAGTCCTGTATTTGTACTCACAGTGCATGTCGCGCTCATGCTCGTACTCAATGAAGGCGTATCCGCGAGGCTTCCCTGTCCTCTTGTTGTACACGATGTAAATCTGCAAGCGACGGGAAAGTATCATCAGTGGTGGGCTGCTCATGAGATGCCTGCTTATACACTGACTAAATGCAATCAACACAACGCTGCATGTGCTGAGATCTGATGAAAATGAAAGTTACATTGCGCGAATCACAAAGTCCAACTCGATATCAATTTAAAAAAATCTTCATGTATACTTCATCAAGTTGGTCCACGATATGCTCCTGTGCGTGCTTCAAAACAAACCCAAGATGCGTCCATTTTTCTCTATGGGGTTACAGCAGCTAGGCCTGTTCTATACATTTTCCAAATGAATTTCAAGGTGACTCGGTGTCAAGTCACACCTCAGTTAAAAGCTCCAATTTAGGTTTTTGCCATACATACATCTGAGTGTGTCGAGACAAGTCAACAACAGTCGATAAACTTACCCGCTTAATGGGACCATAGACCTCAAACTCACGGCGAAGCTTGGACTCTGTGGTATCGTAGTTCTAGGACAAAGAAAATAATGATTGTTATTAACAGGTGAGAGGAAAAGCTCCCACGGGAGAAATCCCAGTGCAGATGTAAAAACACTTGGCCGTAATTTTGACACACTCACCACTCTTGCAACAAACAATGTCTTAAAGGCATCCCCTTGTGCATTTGGGTCATTATGGGGGTCCCCTAAAACAATACAAACAGGAAGGTTTGCTAAAGCCCACAAAGCACAATTAGCTCAAATGGCTTGTCGTTGATCAATGAAGACACTTACAAAGTTTCAGCTCCGTCTCCACCACCGTTTGTCTCCTTTCAATTTTCTCTCGCCTCTACAAATTGAACAATTTGCATAAAATGGGTAAGTGACGGTGATATCAGGGAATTCTGTTGCAATGGCAACACACACACACACACACACACAGAGGCAAAAACTAATAATTGTCTTTGGCCCCGAGCAAGACACTTATTTGCTGGAAAACTGCAGCTCTCCGTTTCTAAGTATCACGTGAACAGCTGTAAGGCACTTCAAATGAAGATCATCCCAATTTACAAAGGAGGAACGGCTCGCCTGATTGAGACAACATCCATTTAAATCAAACACTGACACCGCCCTATGCATTATTTACGATATCAAAATGGTCAAAGTCATCTTGCAATGGTTCCTAGTTCCCAAACCCACCTTTCTCTCCAACCTCTCTTCACGAGTCTCAGCCCTTGTGGGTGGCGGGGCATCTCTCGGATCCTAAACACAAAAGACAACAAATTATATGTATTTTCCTTCCATGCTACATTGTGAAGGACCAATGTGTCATACGTGATAAGCTTTCAACCTCAAAGTGCCTGATGAACGGGGCGATGCCACAGTAAGGTTGGTTGTGGTGTTTCTCATGCGGCAACTTCTCCAGTTGAGGCAGAAAAGGGATTGGGTCCCGCGGGGCAAAGAGGGCCAGAAGGTTCGGAGGCAAAAATTGCGTCATTTTTCACCTAAAGAGATCAATTATAAGTTTAACCTATGGTGAACAAAACCCCAACAACCAGTAAATGTCAGGTCAAGGATGAGCACAAAGGCAAACGTATTTGTTAGCTTCGCGGGCTAACTAGCATGTCCCTCACGGCCGACTTGTAAGAATAGGCCCGACTCAAATCGGTTTCTTGCTTTTGCAAATCGCCTTTCCTCTAAAAGACTACAAAACATAATAAATAAACCCACTAGGTGTAACGGCTCTTTTGTTTCGCTCGCTCAACACTCGACTTACTAGTGGTAACCACCGAGGTAGCTATGCTAACAAGACACATGGACTCTTACCTTCCTTCACTCACCCAACGACCAAAGATAAATTACACCATCGAATTTAAACGGACGCGGAAGACACATAAATGCCTTGGTACGTTCGGTTGGTATGGCTTTCGTGTATGAACGTTAACAAAACAAAATGTTGCCGAGCGGACCAACACGCAATGCGACAACTCGTACAATCAATGCGTATCGTATAACTTCAGTAAAATTAAAATGGCGGGATGCCGTATAAGAGCCACAGTCGTCGTAAAATTACGCTGCATTCAGGGACCTGGGAAAGTCGGATTTCTGCCACTCGTCTCGTCCCGGTTCAGACGTCAAAGCGTTCCGGGCGAATGTAAACAACAAAGATGGCTGATTCTATAAATTGTCATTCTGGTTCATCACAATACAAGACATTCTGACCTCCAGAAAACCGTCAATCATGAATATAAATATATTCTAAGAATTACGTACATTACACCGAAGACAACGGCATACCCTCACGCAGTCAGCAGGAATCGCGTTCTATCACTAAGTTATTTCGAATATCTAAATTAAATGTAGAAATATTCAGGTCCTTTAAAAAAACGGTATCTCAAATCGGAGCCGACAGTTTTAAGGGGCGTTTTATTCAGTGCACTATTCTTCCCAACACGGGTATTACGCAGGTAATTAAGGGGGAACTATTTTGTGTGCAGATCCTTTTTTTTTTACGTTGCGCCAAAACAAGTCATCAAAGTGAGTAATGTACACAAATGAGTTTAAAAAAAACCTGCTTTTGTACACAAGTACATTTCAGTCTCGATATTTGCTTTCACCGGTCTTTTTTACATAAGTATTTGTACTTCCACTTAAGTACAGTGCAAGTACGTTTATCAGCCCTGGGAAGAAGCAAGTCTCCTATTGATTTCTCCTAGAAAGGGGAAATTCATTTCCCTCAATGAAATAAAACCATTACCTTTATATTTTAGATCTAACATGGTGAAGCAATAGTTTTATTTCCAAGAACATTTTACTTACACGTCTTGACCTGCATGCTTCCTTCAAAAATAAAACCATTACCTTTATATTTTAGATCTAATGTGGTGAAGCAATAGTTTTAGTTCCAAGAAAATTTACTTACACGTCTTGACCTGCATGCTTCCTTCAAAATACATTTATTTTCCATGGATGTAAACAATTCATTCGTTTATCTTTTAAAAAGTCAGTCTGTCCCATTCTTGACGGTGGTAACGTTTGAAAAAGAAAACATTAAAAAGTGGCAACCATAATATATACATTAGCTTTTTCATAAGCAGTATTGATTCAGCCACATTCTCCATCTCTGTTACTCATTCCTACAAGTCAAGCAAAGCACTGAGCTGAGTGTCAACTGTATGTGAACTACAGTGCCATGAATAATTACTGCAGACCAACCCGCTGGCCCCTAAGCTTGCGAACTACCGCATTTGCAAAGAGACAGGTGGCTGTCGGGGAAAAACGAAATAATTACTGTAGACCAACCCGCTGGCCCCTAAGCTTGCGAACTATTTGCAAAGAGACAGGTGGCTGTCGGGGAAAAACGAGAGGAGTATGTTTCTGGGAATGAATTATGAGTATTTAGGAGTGTATTATATCCTAGATATGAGACAGATTTAAAAAAAGGTATTCCTGCTGTTTGTACAATCACTGCAGGAATGAATTATGAGTATTTAGGAGCGTATTACATCCTAGATATGAGACAGATTAAAAAAAAAGGTATTCCTGCTGTTTGTACAATCACTGCGTAGTATAAATTGGTTGCATTTTCAAGGTTTTGGGGATTTTATTGGGATACATGGGATCCATTGCATCTCCTATACATGACCTGTTCTCTAAAGACCTATTTTTTTTGTCTGACATATTTACAGTGAAATCACACGGATAAGCTGCATAAAATGGAGAAGACCAAACAATAGAAACATTAACACAAATTAGTGGGTGTCCAAAACAACCAAAGGCAGAGTAGGATAACATTTTAAAAAGCGCCGCTCTGCTCCCTTTCATCCCTCTCCTCTTCATCCATTTTGCGTCCATGTTTTCGGAAGTACTTGTAACGCTGGACGTACAGCTTCACAAGGTTGCTGACCTTGACCGGGTTGATTTCACCAGTGCGGCTGTGGCAGATCTGAAACAATGACAAAAGCTTGATTTTAAGCCTAACTCACTTCAAAGACTTGACTTCTTAGTTGGCACATGCGAGTTCACGGTGAGCATCAGGTCAAACTTTGTTTCATATCGGTCAGTTTAGTCACAACTTCAAACTGAGAAGTGCAATGAGGAATCGATTTTCAAATACCTTTTTCATTTACATTAGTCCAAGTGCTCAGAATTTCAGCAGTGAGTATTGTTTTATTCTTGTAGTCCTCTATGAAAGCCGACTGATTATTTTGGATTTGAATCAAAACCAACCATTTCCCTTTACTTTCGAGAACAGTGAACGACTTTTTTTGCACATTAATAATATTACTGGAACTGTTTTTTTTTTTTCACCTTAATGATACTACTACAATCCATCCATCCATGTTTGCGACGCAGACATCATGCGTTTGTCTAAGCCTCGTAGGTCAGGACAGTTGTGTAAATTGAAGACCCCCTGTAACGACGAGTCACAAGAGGCGTGTTCGATGTGCGGCCGACCTTGTGAACAGCTTTTCGGAGGATATCTTTGTAGTCATCCTTGTTGATGTCTTTGCGCTGATAGTAAGGTTTGATAGCAAGCTTCACCTCCTCCACGGCCCGCTCCTGGGTGTGGAGCTTCTTCAGGTACTGTGCATTTCATCAAACAGAGGACATATATCAAGATAAGAAACTACAAAAAATAATGGCGTTGCAAATATAATTCCAAGGGATGAGTAGGATTAGAAAACATTTCGTTCCCCTTGTGAGTCAGAGACCAAGCATATCTATAAATCTATTTCCTGTGTTTTGTACTGGAAATGGGATGTTATCAGCAGTCCATAATAGTCAAGTAAGTATCTTACATCAACACAACAACTGCAAATGAACTTTAACTTCACCTTCTCAGGGTCTTTACTTTCACTGTCCCAAAAAGTGTCTCCGGAGCTCCCTGTAAATCCGGGCAGCCCGACCGGCATGACAGGCGGGGGTGTCTGTGCACAGCCGCCACCAAGGGTGGGGTGCAGGTGGGAGGGCGGAGTTTTGGTGCAACCGACTAATGGCAGAGAGCTTTGGAGGATGAACTGCGCCGGGCTCAATGCAGGCGGTGGGGGTAGAGTGGGAGGGGGAGGAGGGATCTGGGAGGAGGTCAAGGAGGCAGCTGACGGAGCCTGAGACTGACTCTGATTTGCCTGTGAGAGGATCTGCATTCAATACAAGAGAACATTGCTGGGAAAATCACATTTCCACAAAACCCCATTTGAATCGGAAAATCAGATTTGATTGAAAAGAAGAATCAAAGCAAATCGTTACGCCCGCAAATAGTGTCTATCAAGAGATGTGTCAAATCGTCTTTTGATACTGACTTTGAGCTTAAGTGAACAGAAGTGAACGTCTGATTATCGTGACTGGAGTTTGAGTCAACTTAGCGCTTCGACATTCTTCAAGGTTCTCGTTTGTTTTGTCTATGGAATGACGTCATTGAAAAGACTGGAGCGTCACAGTCAAAAGACGACGGACGGGTCCTCTCACCTGGCTGGTCGCTTGGATGAACTCTTGTGCTTTTGCTCTGCTGGCAATGTTCGCTTCCTCCATTTTGAAGAGAAGGGCGGTTACTAGGAGGACAGATAAGTGGAAGGATTTATGGTTACAAGCTGTGAGGAACTGTTCACCGCAGAGCCATTAAATGCATTTTCTGTCGGCGGCAGACATTGACAAAAAAAAAAAATAGGTTCCACACGAGAACGCAAAAATTTATTGTTGGTTCTGTTTGTACTGCAAGGGTGCTCGCTATCATATAGGAAACAAGCATAAAAAGAAACCAACAAATCTGACGATGACATTGTCACAAGGTTTTTGATTTGATAACAAACATGAGCAACAGCAATGTGTCGTGTGGCTAAGCTGTGCTTTGCTGGATACATCCCAATCAAACTCAGGTGTGACCGTTTCCTCCAAAACCTGGCCAACATCTGTCAACTGATTGAGCAAACTCACATGCAAGAACCCCTCCGGTTGTGCAGTCCACCCCTGTCTGCAGACTCCACGGGAGGACGGGAGCTGCCGGAGGAGGGGGTGGAGGAGGCTTGCTGGCGGATGACGAGGACACCGAGGAGGAAGAGGGGTCTGACGAGGACAAAGGCAGAGAAAGGGAACCGAGAACGCCTGCCCCCGATGATGAAGGGGAAGGAGGTGAGGGCACAGATTTGGGCGCATTGTCTGAAGGGGGCTGCACGGCGGTGGGTGTAGACCCCTGGGGCAGGGATGGGCTGGGTGGACTGGATGGCGGCAGTGTGGGGCTGGTCTGAGTCGGGCAGTCGTCAGCTAGGAAAGAAGGCTCCGGAGTCTTGCAGCTGCTGTCCACGGTCTGAGAGTCCGGCGAAGACTCCCTGACGTCGCGCAAGGGAGCCGGAAGAGGTGGGGGTGTACGCGGTGGTGAGGAGGAAGGCGGGGGCACACTCGTAAAGGACGACGAGGAAGAGGCGGACGACGAACAAGGGGCGGGGCCTGCTTGGCCAGAGTGCGGACTGACGGCCTTGCTTCCATCACCGGCGGCGGAGAGAACCTCTGGCGGGGCTCCGCTCCAGCCTTCAGGTGCCACTTTTGTTTGGCTCCCGTCTCCAGCGTCCAGACCCGATGCGCCATCTTTTGCCCGAACTTTCTTGGCTAAGCGACGGCGGCGCTTGGTTGCCAATGTTGATGAAGGGGAGGGGGTAGAGGAGGAAGTGGATGTGATCGACCCGGCCTTTGTTTTCTTTGATTTCACTCCCCCGGTGCTGTTTAAAGAGGGTGGCGGTGCTGCGAGGCTGTTTCGCTTGCCCATACTGGCCAGCTCTTTATTGCGCACGCCTACCGAAAGAGGCTCGGTGCAAGGCTTCAGAAACGGTGACCTGCTCTCGTTGTCCCTACAGAAGACGACAGCAATTGAACCCCCCACCACAGACCCTCCGGAACCTCCCCCAGTAGCTCCAGGACCAAGGAGGTCCATACCCAGCTTACCAGAGCCAATTGACGTCCCAGTGGTGCTACTCACACCCTCGCGCACCAAAACAGACACTTTGGACTGAAGTTTGGCTTTCCGACTGCTGCTCTCTTTCTTCGATTTGCCGGAGCGACCCAAATCCTTTTTGCCGTCTTTGTCCCATGCTTTGTCTTTCCCTACTTTCCTGGTTCTCTTGGCTAAAGGAAGGCCAGCTGGGACGGGGGCAGAATCCGACGTGACGGACAGAGACGAGAGGCATTTGCTTTTGGTTTTATTGGACGAGGAGGAGGAGGAGGACGACGACTGAGCCAATTTCTTTGACGTGTGACCTTTCTTTTTGGGGTGATGCCGCTCAGTCTTTGGAGTTGGTTTCGATTTGGGGCTGGGGACAGGCGGGTCCGGGGGCAGAGCCGCTGGAGGCGTGTCTTCCAAGGACGGGTAGTCCGAGTCCAAAGCCTCACCGTCTAAAGACAACACGTCTATCTCTAATTTATCGGAATAGCGGTCTGACTCATATCTGCGATACCGTGGAGGCGACGGCGACTGCGATCGGCTACGACAAGTTCCCCGGTCCATCTCCTCTCCACCCGAGTGCCATCTTCTCTTCTTCTTCCTCTTGTGGGGCGTGTCCTGCACAATCCGACACGGAGAGGCTTGAGTGAGTATCGGAGAGCCAGGGACCGTGGTGGTGGTTGTGGTGGTGGTGACGGTAATGGTTCGCTTGATGGCGAAGAGGTCGGAACCATTCAGGTCCTGAATAGACGGGGGGACGACGGGACGTCCTTCCCGGCGACGGTCCCGCTCATGCTCCCGGGCTCTTTCGCCCTCTCTTTTCTCCCCACTTCTTCTCGGCCTCTTTGAAACGTCTCGCTCTCTGCTGCTTGAATGGAAGAGGCCCTTCCGTTTCCTCTCATCCTTTCTCGAGCTAGAGCGTCTCTCTCTTTCATCTCTTCTCTGGCTGAAGGTGCGGCTTCGTTCGCTCTCTCTATACCTGTCTCGTTCCATTTTTCTGCTTCTGTCTCCGTCTCGACCTCTGTCCCGGTCCCTTTCTTTGTCTCTTTCCCTCTCTCGATGGCGTTCCGCAGTAGGGCTCGGGTAGGAGTGTCTCCTGTGGCCGTCCCGTCTTGAAGAGTTGTGTGATTGAGAAGCCTCCGGGCTACTGTGATGCGTTTTCTTTCTCTTCTGACTACTACTCCTGCTGCCTCTCCTACTTTTGCCGTCTTTATCAGTCTTGTCCCCTGGCTTCTTTTCTCTGCTCCTTTCTCCATCTCCCTCCTTGTCCTTCCTTTTTTTCTTTCGCTTCTCATCCTTCTCCCTCGCCTTTGTATCCTTGCTTCTCTGCCTGCTCTGATCCTTGGGCGCTTTGGAGGACTTGCGGTTTGCGTTTCCTTTCTCGGCAGCGGGTGCAAGAGGGGAAGAAGGCATCAAGTCAACAGGAGGAGGAGGAGGGAGAGGTGGTGGGAGCTCAGAAGTGAGAGGGGATGAACCGGGAAAGGCAAGATACCTTTCCTTCCTCTTGCTGACCAGTTTCCTTCTCAGATCCTCCACTCCCACCCGAGGCTCATCGTCCGTCTCCCTGTCTACATCCCAGTTGCTGTCCGCACATACAGATACAAATCCATCCCCATCCAGCACACGGAGAATGCGCTCTGGTTTTGGATCAAAAAAGGTGACCTTGGGAGAGTCCAGGAGGAGATTTTCTGCGGCTGTTCTCTTGGTACCAACATCTCTCTCAATAGCGACCACTATCTCCCCCTCCTCAATCTCAGAATGGTCAGAGTCAGCCCGCTCTCTCTTAACTCGAGCTTTGGTCGTGCTGTAGTCAACTCGCCGTCTATGAGAGAGCTGGGGAGCCAACGGAGGGCTCGGTGGGTCACTGAATACGTCAGTGGAATCTGGGGGCTCCTCTTCTTTCTTCTCAATTTCTCTCTGCGCACTCGTTAGCTTTTCTGTTAAGTTGCCGTCTTCGTCATCATCATCTGATGCTGGAGAACCAGTGGGCTCAAAAGGATCATACTTCTCACCTTCATCTTCCTCAGTCTTTCCATCTTTTTCCCCCTCTGTAGGATGGAAAGGATCGTATATCTCCTTTTTCCTACCTACTTCTTGATATTCAACACCTGACTGTGACAAACTGCGAGGGAAGGATTCTGCAAAGGTGGCTTTGGCTGTGGAGAGGGATGACTTTGTTCGGGAGGCAGATGTGGAAGACACCCTCAGCAGTTCTGACTCATGAGTCTGACCTTTAACGTGGTTCGGAAAAAATGACGAGTTGGCACGGGGAGAGGATGATGTAGATGAGGGTGAAGACTGATCAGATGATGGAGATGACCGAGACAAAGAGGGTGAGCGACGAGGTGGGCTTCTGGCAATCTCTCTTTGGCCGGTGGGTGAGCAGGAGGTGGCAAGCCTCCTTCTGAGGCCCGATGCTGATGCCAGGTCCATGGTTCAGGACAGTTGGTTGTATAAAGGTTGCTCTGGTGGACCCAGGGATTGGAAGCCAAAGGAAAGGTTGCCAAATGATTGGAACCCACAAACAAACCTGACTGAGAGGAGAGAGAGAAAGAAAGATGCAGTCTTGGATTTAAAATTGTACAAATAAATTGACATTTGATCAAACTAGTGGACATCATGCTCAAGTTAAGAGTGAAAACGTAGATTTGCACAGTATTAAGTATGGGATGGGCATTTAACTACATTTCTGATTAACTATGGCTCCCGACTGTACGATAACAATAATGATGTTAGTCATTTCACTATTTTTAGAAGACGCAACATGCACAACAAAAATGTTGCCCGGCGGAGGTGCCAGAGTGGAAGTCTTGGTTCATGTAGCACATTTTCTCATGTGTGTTGTGTTGCACGACTAGTACTTTGGTAGTTGCAGTGAAGCAGTGCAATCCAATTTTCCTAAATTGTTTCAAGCTCAGTCAGGCAAAGAATGCTAGCGGTTTTGTTGTTAACTGTGTTGAAAAATGGTGTGATCGTTTTAGATCGAAGAGAAATAAATCTTATCCAACACCAGCCTATTTGTACTAGTACCTCTCCGGTCAGTGCTGCTTTCCCTCGTTAACATTTGCAATCTACAAAATCAGTGCATAGAGTATTGTGAGAAAAACGTCACTACGGCACTGTTACCTGATGACATGAACAAAGCATCCATCGGTCAGGGTATCATATTTGTCCTTCATGTCATGTCCTATTGGTCATATAGGCACAATAATAAGAGCAAGAGCACTACCGAAGCAGTTCCGAACAACAAATAAGGCAATATATTCATATCAAGATGTTTTCTTTGTTTTGTTTTTTTAACAAAAGTCTCAGTTTCCGATGTCGAACACATTACAACCGCGCTTTTGCCATTATGTTGACGAGAAAAGATAAAAGGGCTCCGTTTGAATTGAAAAATGAGATAGCTGGGGTTCCTTTCCCACTGTTGGCACCTTAGTATTGTTCGTTACGGCTTCCAAAAGTGGTGGAATATGGTCAGGGAAGTTTGGGCGTTACTTTCAGTCAGTCTTTATCACGAAAACGACATAACGCGTTTTGAAAAGTCATGCCTTTGGAACTTAAGAGCACAACCGGGTAGCCATCTAGCTAAGACAAATTAGCCGAGGCTAGCTAGCAAAAGGCAGCAACTGTGGGTTGTGTGTGCAAATTACCTGAAATCCTGTTACGTCCAGTTCAGTGTTCCAGCGTGCGCACTGCGCATACCGGAATCTCTTTATATCACATGAGATTCGACGGTGAAAATCAACAAAGACTGCTTTTTATGCGGTTTTATGAACGCAACAGCAGCTCCGTTCCATCAATCTCCGCCATTTTCCACTCCCTCAAGCCGCATGACAGAGCATTATGGGAAACGTAGTTTCGGATACGCTTGATCCTCACAAGGGTCGCCGGGCGTGCTGGAGCCTATCCCAGCCTTCTGCGGGCATTAGGCGGGGGACACCCTGAACCGGTTGCCAGCCCATAGCAGGACACACAGAGACGAACAACCATCCGTGCTCACAATCACACCTAGGGACAATTTGGAGTGTTCAATCAGCCTGTCATGCATTATTTTTGGAATGTGGGAGGAAACCGGAGTACCTGGAGAAAACCCACACAGGCCCGGGGAGAACATGTAAATTCCACCCAGGAAGGCCGGAGCCAGGATCGAACCCACGACCTCTGGGTCACCGGGCCGCCCTGCAAAATTCATGTTTACACTGATACGGAAAAATGAGAAAGAAACATTGTGTGTATGAAGTGTATTTATTTAAAACCGATAAGATACAAACAAATGCGGGGTAAAACACAATTCGCATTGATAAATATGTAACAAAACAAATGTTCTTTAATCTCCACAGGTTTTACAATTACGAGAAAGAAAACAACCAATGGTCAGTAAAAAGAACCTTCATTTTGACTAGTGACAAATACAAAAATTCATACGCTACAAGGACACGCTGATGTTCACTGTGTCATTTTCATTCCAGGTTGTATGATGCATTTTGTCACAATAGAAGACGCTTTGCCCAACCTTGGCTCACAGACACTTAAACAAACGCCCCAACAAGTTTTGGTGAATCAGCAAAGGTGCGTTTTGGCTATTGTAGATAAGACTTTTACACACGCGCTTATGAAAAAAAAAAAAAAAAAAAAAAAAAAAGTGTATACGGCTCTATTCTGTGAGGAACTCGGAACTCACCTAGTCCGAGCATTAGGCAGACGCTTAGCCTTACTGTTTTGTTCTGTACGAAACTGAAAGCACACATAATGCCATATCGAACACAATTTTTAAAAAAAATGTGAAAAACATACAATGCATTTCACATCATCAACATTGGCGTCTGCTGGTGTTATTTGTACTGAACGTCATAGCGACACGTAGATAGATGTTTTGTCAAAACTTTTTTTCCCCTCTTTTATACACACATGAAAAAAATGTTTTCAATGTACACAAGACTGCTCCTAACAGACAAGTATGATTTTCATAATAGTTTTTTTTTTTTTGTGGAAGTAAACTCAGTAGTTTACCAACAAATAAAGTGGTTGCGGTACCTTCGCTAAAAATTTGCACCTGAGGGAAAAAGAAATGTGCAGATGCAATCAAAACATGTCAACCTAAAATTCAAACCCTATGAATCAGTCAGACGCTCCTCGGAGTTTCCATTTTGTCAAAGAATCAAATGACTGACCAAAAGGACCTCAGCTCCACAAGAGCATAAAATAAACTACCGGTACTTAAATTTTTTAGCTCTTAACATTCATTTAAAGCTGCTGAAAAGAGAAGAAAAACAAAAAACAAAAACAAATAAATAATGCAGCATGTAAAGTGACAGGAAATTGGAATCTGTTCGACAGATCCCTTCAACTTGTGCGTTTAAAGTTCAACATTATTACCCAACACTCTCTGAAGTCCGTTAACAACATTACAAGTCAACAATCAGCGGATGGTTCGAAGCACTCAGCTGCCGCACCCAACATGCCGCCGGTCTAAAACGCAAAACACTACCCTGTCCACCCAGGCAAAATAACATTCAAAAGAGCAAATCATTTGTCGTCACAAATATCAGCCTTGGCAGGTTCCAAAATTGGAAAAAGGTTTTATGAGTGGATTTGTTTTTTTTTTTTTTAAATCCAATCCCAAAATCGATGATCAGCCAAATCTTCGGTGAGACCAATTCACGTTTGCTCCAGGTAAACGTACTCTGATGTAATAATGCAGGAAAAAACGACAGTTAACAACTCAACAGCTCCTATCTCTCAAATCACCCCACATTTCAATCCTGGATTCAAACCTTTGGTATTTGAGAAAGCTGACCCTGACAAGGCTCACCCCAAGTCCATGGAGCAATGTGCGATGATGAGATTGCCCCCTATTTCTTTCCAAACCACAGGTACACGGATGTCAAAATAAAGGCTGCACAAGTGTGCCCAACCCCCGCCCTGCTTTGACTTGGAACAGCAGGAGCCCCTAAAGTGATGGCATAAACAACGAGAAGCATATTTGTTGGCAAAAGGCGAGTTCTTCAATTACCGGTAAGTTGGAAGTTGGGTCGGCAGGTGAAGGACAAGCCCATCGTTTTTTTTTTTGTTTGTTTTTTTCCTAAACCAACGTCTTTCCACGACTCATCAAGCACGGGAATTGAACAAGTGCCGTGCCGCCTCTGGCCACTCCTTCAAAGACAGCAGGAAGCAAGGGGAGCCCGGCAAAGTGCTTCGGAGGACCACTGTGAAAAAGCTTCAGGCCAGCCCAGAATCCTTGGCCATTTTATAGAAGGATCCCTTTTGAGCCAGGAGATTGGCTGGGGAATCAAATTCTACCATTTCTCCTCTCTCCAAAACCAGCACCCTAAATGAAAGAGAACGCCAGTTTAATTCTCAGCACACGGAATCACGGGAGCCCAGTTCAGAACTTGTTTTGCTTTTGTCTTCTCAAGAGAGTAACTTGAGACTCACGAGGGCATCTATCGAAAGTAACACGAAGTTAGGGGACTCGTATTCAAAGCGGTAGGACCCTAAAAGAGGGATTTCGTTGAAGGGCCGCCTACAGAAAAGGGGAAGGATGAAAGGGGCATATTGTTCAACTTTTTGAAACACGCCGTTTTTAGCGTCACTTTTTTTTTTACGTTTTGGCATTAAATGAGTTCAATTCAGATGGAACACAATTGAGGGAAGCATGTTGGCTCAACGACCGCGAGAGTCTCCCACTTGGCACCCTTGGCAACCTGTAGTGTCACACAAATTTAAAGGTAAAGGTGGGAAATGATACCTTGTGTAATCCATGATGGTGTTCAGGCGATGAGCGATGGTAAGGACCGTACAGTCCTCAAACTGAGAGCGGATGGTGGTCTGAATGAGGTTGTCGGTCTCCATGTCCACAGCGGCTGTGGCTTCGTCTAAAACAAGGATCTTGGTCTTTCTCAACAAGGCTCTGGCCAGGCATAGTAGTTGGCGCTGGCCCACGCTACAGGGGGAAAAATAAATAAAAGAAAAGGGTGAGGTTTTTTTTTTTTTTTTTTTTTTTTTTTAAAACATGCTGCAGTTGTCATCTTAAAAAGATATATTTGACATCATGGATTCATAAAGACTGCGGAACCAAAGCAGGAAACGATGTAGTTCAAGTTGGACACGATTTTTCTCACCTTTTCCCAGAAACCCAAACTACCTCAACTCAACTCAAGTGTATTTCTCGAGTACTTTCAAACAACCACCGCTGTAAACAAAGTGCTGTACATGCCAGGATGTGACGAAGGCACGAATTACAGTTTCAAAGTGCTGGACACGAGCAAAATACATTGTTCCTCAGTTGTTTCACAACTACCATTTCATAAGAATCTAAGTGTGCAATGACAAGAAATGGAAACGTGGTTCCTACCTGAGGTTCTCTCCCCCTTCACTACATTCATGGTTGAGCTTGTCTGGCAGGCCGGACACAAAGTTCTTGAGATGAGAGAACTCCAAAGACCTCCATATGTCCTCATCAGAGTAGCTTTCAAATGGATCTAAATTCATCCTCAGAGTGCCTGAAAACAACACTGGATCCTGAGGGGACGCAAAGAGGTACAGTGAATCGTGGATCACCCAAAAAAACAGCAGCTGTGATGACTCAAATGAGGAAAATGAGAGAGAGAGAGAGAGAGAGAGAGAGAGAGAGAGAGAGAGAGAGAGAGAGAGAGAGATCAAGCAGGGCTTGAAAAGCAAGGACAAACCTCTTGTCGTATTGAAATCTTTCTAATGAGAGAATTTTTAGTTCTCAGAGATGAAAGTCCTCCGGATTTTCCCGGAATTCCGGGTTTTTCAAATTTTTATGAAAATTTCTCCGGAGAATTGAGGAAAATTTGCATAATCCGGATATTTGTTGACAACATTGAACGAAGACGCGTTTGAGTTCGTTGTATTGCTTTCACGAGCGTAGCCATATTGAGGCACTAACACGAGTAACAGTAAAGAGATTTTTGTTTGTGTAATAACGACAGAAGGCATAATGGCGTTTGACTAATGGTTTAGTAGAACGAATGGCAACTCGCAACAACAGTAGCAAGCGTCATTTTGCCTCTTGGGTTATACCATCTCAACTAGAACGTGGGGGATAGTCCCCAAACAATTTTCGTCTCTTTATAAACACACCTGCTAAACCCCAGTGGAACGAATAAAAGACGGCGTCAACAAGACAGTTGTCGTAAAATATATATTTCACCAAAAAGGCAAAAACACAGATTGGCAGAAAATCGTGTCCGTCCGACTTAGTGTCGTCTCGGCTAACTTAGCTTA